CCAGGACTAGGACAGTAGCCCTGATGCATCACAGAGTCGGGTGCTTTCCACTTTTCTTCACCACACTTAGTATACAGGCCTCCATCTTCGTGCTTAAGTCCTCATGTCCAAGATGATGCCTGACCCTCCTGTACCTTACATCTCTGTTTTGAGTAAGAAGTGGCACAGCAGGCTTCTGTTTATATCTCATTGGCAAGAACTATGTTGTATGGCCCACCTAGCTGCAAAAGGCTGGCAAATGGGTATTTTAGACAAGAAAGGGAATTATAAGTAGGATTTTAAAATCGGGTCATCTAATCTCCAGTGTCTGCCTACCATACAGGAGTTTTTCCTGAAAAAGAACTCTAGTTTTCAAGTTTGCTTAAGTTTATAACAATCTGAATTATTTTTAATTCATTGTAATTAAATATGCTGGCAAACTAATTTGTCAAATTATTGTATAATATTCCTAGGAAAAGCACAACAAACAGTCTGAATTTACTATTGAAAACTTGATAGTCACAATAAGGGACCTGTTTGTAGCTGGGACAGAAACAACAAGCACCACCCTTAGATACGGACTCCTGCTTTTGATGAAGTACCCTGAGGTTACAGGTATGACCATAGATGGTGGGCAGGGGGAAATTCAGAAAGAAATGTGACAAGACACTCCTAGTTTTTCCTATCTTGTTTCTCTTAAAGAAGCCTCATTATTTAAATTCCTGTGACACCAACTATATATGTACAAATTTGATGACAGAATAAAAATGAGATGATTTGCACACTAGGGGAGAGTGACTGTGGTAGTTACGTTTGTGTGTCAACTTGGCTGGGCCTGGTTGAGGGGCTGGGCAGCTGGATGTAGTATTCCCCATGATGAGAATGGTAATCAACTCCATGGTGGAATCTACTGTAAGCAGCTGCCTTCGGGTATGGGATCTGCTTCATAGATAAGAAACAGCTTTGGGAATGGTCTCTAGCTTATGGCATGCTTAAAGCCTGCATGTAGCCATGTCATTGTTCAGCAGTCCACCATGCTCTGCTGACCTTGGGACTTTCAATGGACTTAAATTAATGGCCTGCTGTGTAGTTTGGTAGCGTCAGGACTGCCTTTTTACTTGTCAACCTTGGGTTTGTCAGTCTCAGCAGCCAGCAGCTGTCTGAGTAAAGAAAAGCCTCTAGCTCCAGTGGGCCAGGAGCAGGAGGCAGAGCTGAAGCCCAAGGTTGAGGGGCTTTCACCCAGCCCCTAGAGCCTGGCAGTTTGAACTTGGACTTAAAGCCTCCAAACTGTAAGAGAATAAACTCTTGTTTGTTAAAGCCATCCCATTTGTGTTATATTCTTGTCAGAGCAGCACTAGGTAACCAAAACAGTGACTGGGAGAAGGGAAGGACAGTGTGGGCAGTAGGCAATGTGACAAATCTCTAGAGTGGTGTCCAGATTCTGGTGCAGCTGATTTATAACAGGAAAGTTTGAGGGAGGCTAGTGTGTACGAGGGACCTCTGGTGGCATAGTGCCTAAGGAATTTGACTGCTAATCAGAAGGCTGGTGGTTCAAACCCACCAGCTACTCCCTGGAAGGAAGATTGGGCAGTATACTTCTGTAATGATACTGCCTCAGAAACCCAAGGAGGGGTTGCTGAGAGTTGGATCCAACTCAATGGCAGTGAGGATTTTGTTTTGTTTTGTTTTTTAAAATGTGTACTAGGCCTCTGGTAGCATAGTGCCTAAGGCAGTTGACTGCTAACCAGAAGGCTGGCAGTTCAAACCCACCAGCCACTCCTCAAAAGGAAGGTTGGGCAATCTACTTCTGTAGTGATACCGCCTTGGAAACCCAAGGAGGGGTCACTATGAGTTGGGTCCGACTCAACAGCACATAACAACAACAGCAAGCACTAGGCCTAGAAAATAGCCAGTTCAGAATGGACAGGTAGAAAAGCAAGTATAAGGAAAAACACCAAGAAAAAAAGGGAAGTGATAGAATATCTAATGTTTCCCAATAATGAATAAATTACTACTAGGAATTTGAAACATTTACCTGAGCACTTAGAAATCACCTATTAAATTTGGAATTGAAATGGATACTTTTAGGGATTTCAGATATGATGGCAGAACAGGCAGACAAGCTACACAGACCCTCTACAACAAAGAAATGAGAAAACAACTGAGTCAAATATACAGGATAATCCTGGAACACTGAGCTTTGAAGGGAAGGATAGAGAAGGGGATTAAGTACAGACTAGTAGAAGAAATTGAATGAAAACAATAAATAAGAAGACAAACAGAACCGTGGGCTGTTTACTGCCCTGATGGCGTGGCCATTTTGAATATTTGCAAACAGATTTCAATCTGAGCAGCAACTTGTTAATCAGCTCTGTTTGCTAAGGGTTTCATAAGCAACCACACTGATGGCTGATGATGACAAAAATGTAAAATTCCAATTGTACCTCACATCCTTCTAGCAAATGGATTGTGTGACCACTTCCCATCACCTCCCGCCTTTTGGATGGGCAGAAACTCCATCCTGGACCAGGCATCCTGCTACAAGCAACTTTTGGGGCCAAAAGAAAACAAACCAAACTCAGTACCATCAAGTTGATTCTAAATCATAGCGACCCCTTTGCATTTCCAAGGTGGTAAATCTTTATGGAAGTAGATTCTCCAGTCTTTCTTCCACAGAGTGGCTAGTGCATTTGAACTGCCAGTCTTCCGGTTAACAGACAAATGCCTTAGGAACTTTTTCTGAGACCAAGTACCTCACACCCAGCCACCATTTGGATTGGTAGTTAATTTTTTCTGGAAATGGAGCCCTATACCCAGTTGCCTTTTGAAACAGTAGGAACTCTGTCTGGGACCAAAACCCTGCCCACAGCTGCTTTTGGCACCTGACAATACTCCCTCTAGAACCAGGTGCATTATTTCCAGTCACCTTTATGACAAGCAGTGACATTGTCTTTGTCCGAGCACCCTGCCACCAGAAACCTTCTGAGCCAGCAGCAACTTCTCTGGGATCAGGCTCCCAACCTCCAGTTGCCTTCTGGGTAGACAGGAACAAGTTCTGAGATTAGCCGCCCTGCACCCACATGCCTTTTGGGCTGGCAGGAAACTTTTTCTAGAACCAGGTGACCTACACCCAGCCTCCTTTTGGGTTGGCAGGATCATTTTCTGGGAGCAGGGGCCCTGTGCCCAGCTGCCTTTTGAGACCAGGGAACTTTTTCTGGGATCAGACACACTGTCCCCAGCTGTTTTGGGGGATGACAAGAAATCTTGCCTTGCTCCCAGCTGCTATTTGGGCTGGCGGGAACTTTTTCTGTGTCTAGGAACCAGTACCTTCTGGGTTAGCAGGAACTCATCTGGGATCAGGGGCCCTGTCCATAGTTGCCTTCTGGGTAGACAGGAACTAGGGCCAGGACCAGGTACACTGATTACACCACCTGCCTGTCCAGTAGGAACAATTCCTGGGCACCCTGCCCCCAGTTTTCTTTTTTTAAAAATTATTATTTTTTTCCCTCCTTTATTTTCTTCTTGTCATTTTCTGTTTACATTCCCTTTCCAGGTACAGTTCATACTTTTACTTTTTTGGTCCTTTTCCTGGTTCCTTTTTCTTACTATTCTCCTTTTTATTTTTCCCATTTCTTGTTTTTATTTTGGCATTTTTCTTATTTTTTCTTTGATATTCTTTTCTTTTGCCCTCTTTTCTTACTGCCCTCAGATTTTCATTTATTTTATTTTCTCTTTGTCCTCCTTTTTTCTTTTTCCTCCATTTTCCTTTTTGTGGTTGTTGTGGGTCTATGCTCTTTATGTTTTTTGTACTCCTTTATATTTTTGGTGGTGTTTTTTACGAGGTTTTTTTTTTTTGTCCCACCTAGTGAGAAACAGCAACCACATCCACACAACCCAACTACATCCATACTTCCTGCAGCTCCTCCCACTGGGCTAGGGTCACTGCCTGATTCTATACCAACTTATCAACAACACATGGAGGCCAATACAAACCCAATCCACCCTCAATTGCTCTACACAAACATCTAACGGAAACCAGTGCACAAATTCTCATATTATATCACACCCACCAGGAGACAAGTGGTAAATGCCTGAGTGCTGGCAACCCAGCAAGCAGAATAGAACACCAGCCTTCTCTTTCAAATATATCAAAACAAAGTAAAGCAAAAGCAAAAAAAAAAAAAAACTGGAAGAATCATAATAACATACAATCACCAATTAAATATAAATACAATGACATCACAATGTCTCAGACACAACTGGCATGCATTGTTCCCAAGAAGAAGTAAGATAAGGAACCAGAATACAAAACCAGAAAACCTCCCTTAGGAAGAAGTAGCATGGGAAGTACCTGATAAGGAATACAAAAGAATTATATTTAGTTACCTTCGATGGATTTAGAGACAGATGAAAGATAAAGGAACAAAATTAAGGAAAACAGACAAAACTCTAGAAGAATTTAGAAAAAATAATAAAGGAAAAAACTCAAAATCATATAAAATATCATCAGGCTTTCTGGTCTGATGGAGACTAGTGAGACCCTTGAGACTATAGCCACTAGTCACACTTCGAAGGAGCTCTGATGGCACAGTGCCTACCCTTTGGGCTGAAATTGGACTCACTCTCATGGCTTAACTCTCAGCCAAACAACAGACAGGCCTATAAGGTGACCAATTACACCAGGGAGGTGCACTCCTTAGAACAATCAACCATGGAAAATCAGAAGGGCAGCATTTGCACAGGGAGAAACTCAGAAGGCAGGAATATGTAGGAAAGAGGGACACAGGGAAAATGTACCCACAGGGAGGAAGTGGGAAGAGAGCTCTTACATTGTGGGCATTTAAGTCAACATTAGGAAAGGAAATGTGTATGAACAGTTGAATGGAAAATAAATTTGCTCTGTAACATTTCACCCAAATCCCAATAAAGTGTTTTTTTTAAAAAAAGGTAGTTTTAAATCCGAGAATGTACAAAAATTGAAATATACACTTATCAAAGAAGAACATTCACATAGTCCTGATGATGTAAATAATAAATATTAATATAAACAAAATTTGTGATAGAACAGATTGGGGAAATGGAGTGATGGGGAGTGTGTGTGTGTATGCTTGTGTGTGTATGTGTGCACGTATTCTTTAAGAGTTTGCTAGTGCAGAAGTAAATGATCATCATCCTTAGAAAAATGTCATTAGTCTCTAAAAATGATAAATCAAGAAACAGAAATAGAGTCACTATTTAGAAATATGAACATACATTTCAGTAGAAACGGGTAGAATGATTCGAGTGACCACATTTGAGAATGGAGGAAATTGAACCCACATAAACACATGCCTAAAGATAGGGATGATAGAATACAATTTTTGAAACATAATATATTATTTTGATAGAAAATTAACATTCGATTCCTCTTGTCCTTTCTGCAAGACTAATAATTTCTTAAGTGAATTATGTGCTGTTTACATTTTGAAACATTTAATCATTTGTCTTTGTATTAATATCCTGAAGGCTGATGGACAGATTTATGTACACATTTACTCTAATGCCTAGCTTGTAGGACAGTGAATGTATCTGTATTATAGCAATTGTCTCACTACCTCTGGGTGTACTTCTGGTCATATAAGTTATGGTTGTAATAATGTTGGGACACCTTCAGAATGCTTCATGTAATCCAAAAGTGCTGTTGCGAATGTGCCAATTTTCTCCCTTTCATCGCTTCTTACTTATGTCTTAACAGCTAAAGTCCAGGAAGAGATTGACCGTGTGATTGGCAAACACCGAAACCCCTGCTTGCAGGACAGGGGCAGCATGCCCTACACGGATGCTGTGGTGCATGAGATCCAGAGGTACATTGACCTCCTCCCCACCAACCTGCCTCACGCAGTGACCCAGGACATTAAATTCAGAAACTACCTCATTCCCAAGGTAAGATTTGATTCTTCTACACTGAACCTCAGTGCTCTTAAAGTTCTGTACTTATAGTATGACTTTAGTA